CGCCTTTTATCTCTGACGAAGGACTCTAGAAGGAGCCCGAAAGCTCAGACAAATAAACTTATGATTCCGGTGATCGCAACGCCTTCTACTTCTCTATCTACACATGTACCTGGGATGCGAACATTTGCCTCATATTGTTTGTAGTCAACTTTGTGCATTTTAGGACTATTATTTTGAGTGCGACAGAAGATCGTTTGGAAGACCGATTTATACGCCCTGTAGTCATTAGCCTATAGGTTAACTATTTATACTTATAGCAAAAAAGCAGTTCGCATGAGATTATGTGCTAGGACTGGATGTGAATTTAGTTTATGGAAATGTGAAAAACGGATTTTATTACGGAACAAGTATTCGCCTTGGCAGCCGGAAAGGTTGTTTTTATGTTATGCTTCAATTTTATTTTATCAATTACGCTAAATGACATGTTTGATGCTTTACGATTTACAGGAAACTCAATTGGCCTCGGAAGCTGTTGCTGAACAACCTCCTGCAAATAAAGGTGACTTAAACGATGCCGAGGACGATGTTATCATTGCAACGGAGGTAAACCACGCAATCAACATGCAAAGCTTTATTTAACGTTTAGATTTTTCTGACTGGAACACCAGACACAGTTTCCGTGCATATCGGCAACTTTGCGATAAGGCAAACTTATACCGAAATAAGCGATATCCAAATGGTATTTTCACATCAGTAGAAATATCTTAGGGTATTGTGTAAAGTCATTAGATTCGGCCGTTTTTGTGCTTCAATTTGCTTACAGCATTCCGACCAAAAGATATATTTGATATTCTGTGATTTACAGGAGACTCAATTAGCCTCGCAACCTGTTGCTGAACATTCTCCTGAAAATAAGGATGACTCAAAGGAGGCCAAGGAGGACGTTTTCATTGCAACTGAGGTAAACCACGCAGTCCACATGCTGGGTTGTCTTTTACGTTTAACTTACCCTTACTTAAAAACTAGACACGCTTTCGGTGCATAGTATGAAGCATATGACAATGCAAGTGTATACTGGCTTAAATCTTGAGGACATATAACGTATAAGTGTGCACAATACGCATGCACATATAGAAGGTCTTCCATAATGATACCGTAATTAAACATTTATTTAATATGTTTAAAATATTTTCCGGAATTAGTTTTCGAACTACGCGTTGTTACTCAAGCGCATTTTCACGTACCCAGCTGATCTGCCAACCACTAGTGCCACTCATTTCGTAGACAATCGTCTCTGGGATTTGAAAAATATGAAGTTTTCTTAACGCGCAGTGAATGTACAACCAAATTCTGACTCAACATCTCAAATTAAATGTTTACTACTCTTACATACATTATCTAGATGCCAATGCTCCGTTCACCTATATTTTCTGTAAAGCAATGATGACATAAATCATAAACCTATCGGACTTCTCTAGTCAGCCATAATGCTGAGACAGTTGAAAGTCTATGAAACTGACATTTTCAAATGTTACTGACGCTCTAAAGTCCAAGCATCGGCTAGTGCACAATCTGGAGTTGTGTATAAATAAGAAGCCAGAAATGGCCATTTCAATCAAAAAAGGACAAAAAAGTTTGCAATGGGATAGCTGCCCAAAATCCTTTTACTACAAGTTAGCCTTTAGTCATAAAAATAATTTACGTGATTTACCTAATTTAAAGCAGAGCAACGAGAGGGGATAATCAAAGAGGGTTTTGGTAGAGGCTTGTGTTTTCCTTCTTACCATCAAGGGTAAAAAATTGTCCCAAATTTGCTCACTTGGTTTTTTTTTTCACATATAGCATCCGCAAATCTCAGAAACTCCGTCTCAGCCATTGCAGGCGGCCCCTTCAGAGGATTCGATGGATACAGCTCCAGCTTCAAATGACAGCCTGACCCCAGCTAAGGTTAGTTAACCAGCCGACATGAAGGACAGATTATTTGTAGTCCAGTTTGTGCATTGTTAGACCGTTGTTTGCAGTGCGAATAAAAGATGAGGTTCGACCTAGGAGACGATGTTTTACAATTTACCAACAATCAACATTTTCACTTGAGTGCACTTGCACCTACCAATCCCCTCTGGCAGCCACTAGTGCCGCTGATCGGCACCGAGTCGGCTTCTTCTGAATTCTAGATGACTGCTTGGGAAATCCTGCCTTGGCAGCCAGCTAACTATATCCGTAATGGTGGGTTCCATACGAGCAGTAATATTGGTTGGTAAATCGATCCAAATGTGATTAAATTCACAAAACACGGTGAGCCTTGTAGCTCAATGGAAGAGTGCCGGCTGCGGAAAAGCCTCCCCTGTTTTGTGGATTTGACTCCCACAGAGGTCGCAAATGTTTTTACAATTAGGTTCACTGGAAATGCATGACATTTGTCTCACACGCATTTCGAACGCTCTACCAAAGTTTGACTTATCACTTGACAAGCTCGTGCCCTCTACTATTAAATAGATTATTTGAATGCCACTGTTTCGGAAAACTTCACGCTCTGCACAAATAGCACTTTCTGAGCCGAGCATTTCTCATCAGCCATATTTCAGACCCCTTGGAATATCTGTGCTGCTTATTTGTTGACATTTGCCTGAAGTACTCAAGTTCGAGCTCTGAGTGATGCCAAACCTGGTGCTGGGTACTCGTAAGAAGCTAGAAATAACCATTCTACTCAAATTTTCTTTTTCGGTGGTTTAATCTTCCTATAATACTAATTGCTATGAAGCTTCTCACAGGAATAGTTAGTGAGCTGCAAGGCTGAACTGGACGAGGGATTACCGTCACCAATCGGTGTGCTACCCACTGTCAGTCTAAATGACTGTGACCATTGCTGAAAAATATGCTGTAGGTTACGATGTGGGAATTAATTGTAATTGACCGCTCATGAACCTCAACGCAGACGCTCTACTTACGCAGTATTACTGTTTCATGCGCAGACCGAACACAAAGATTGTTTATGCAGTATGCTAATGTCCAAAGATATCTTAGGAAACACCTAATCCGACGCATATTCCTGACGGCTGAAAACAGGTGGATGAAGGTCATTTAACGAAAAGAACGATGTCACAATACACTTTATATGTCGATAAAATATCAGTTAGGGTACTGTGTGATGTCATTACATTTGGCTGCTTTATGCTTCAATTCAGGCTGAAAGATATATTTGGTATTCTGTGATTTATAGGAGACTCAGTCAGCCTCACAAGCTGTTGCCGAACAACGTGGGGAAGATAAAGTTGGCTCAAAGGAATCTGAGGATGAAGTTGTCGTTGCAACTGAGGTAAACCAGGCAATCATTTTGTTAGGCTGTTTTATACGTTTCAATTGCCTACACTTTAACACTAGATACGGTTTCGCTGATAATATGAACCATATGACAATGCAAGTTCATATTTCCTAAGGAATGTCTGTTTTACGCTTCAATTTTATTTTATCAATTACGCTAAATGACATGTTTGATGCTTTACGATTTACAGGAAACTCAATTGGCCTCGGAAGCTGTTGCTGAACAACCTCCTGCAAATAAAGGTGACTTAAACGATGCCGAGGACGATGTTATCATTGCAACGGAGGTAAACCACGCAATCAACATGCAGAGCTATATTTTACGTTTACATTTTGCTCACTGGAACACCAGACACAGTTTTCATTTATATCTCCAACTTTGCGATAAGGCAAACTTATACCGAAATAAACGATATCCCAGTGGTATTTTCATATCAGTAGAAATATCTTAATGTATTTTGTAAAGTCATTAGATTCGGCCGTTTTGTGCTTCAATTTGCTTACAGCATTCCGACCAAAAGACATATTTGATATTATGTGATTTACAGGAGACTCAATTAGCCTCGCAACCTGTTGCTGAATATCCTCCTGAAAATGAAGGTGACTCAAAGGAGGCCGAGGAGGACGTTATCATTGCAAGTGAGGTAAACCAGACAATTTTCCACATGCACGGAGAACGCTCGAACGTATTCTGACTATCCACCTCATAATGCATTTCACAACGCTTAAGTTCAGTATATATATATGCCAATGTTCCGTTTACGTATATGTTCTGTAAAACGGTAAAGACATATCATGAACATATTAAGCTTCTCTTGTCGGCTATCCTGCGGAGACAGTGGAAATTCCATGTTACTGAGTTGTTAAAATTCCACGGACGTTCTCACGTCGAGCATCCGTTGGTGAACTATCGGGAGTTGTATATGAGTAGGAAGCCGAACACAGCCAATCCAGTTCGTAAAGGGCAGCAAATAGCTACAATAGGACAGCTGTGTTATGGTAATTAACTGCCATGTGGTCGGTCAGTAGTAAACGTATTTTGCATGATTTTCTTTTCTCAAAGGAGAGCTACAAGACGAGGTATTAGTAGGGGGAGATAGCAGTGGTTTGTGTTTTATATCCTATCATCAACGACAAAAAACTTGCGGACTGAATTTTCTTTTCACATATAGCATCCGCAAATCTCAGAAATTCCGGCCCAGCCATTACAGGCGACACCTTCAGAGGATTCGATAGCTGCAGCTCCAGCATCAGCTGACAGCCTAACTCCAGCTAAAGTAAGTGAACCAGACGACATTTAGAAAATATTGTTTGAAATCAACATTGTATATTGTGTCACCATTGTTTTGAGTGCGACGAAGGATCCTCTGGAAGATCGATTTATACAGTCTTTAATCATTAGCCTCCAGGGTAGCCATTTAGGCTAATAGCCAGGAAGCAAATTGCATAGGATTATGCACTAGGACTTAATATGAATTTACCTTATGAAAATGACAGAAAAGGGATTTTATTTCAGAAGAAATGCTCGCATCCGGGGCATTTAAGCTTGCATATCAAAAACGTAGAATGCTATTTCTTCGCGCGGAAACGTTATTTGTCAAACTCATGCGTCATCCTTTATGAGGTGCAACCAACGTGCCGAAACTTTACAGTTCACCAATGATCAATATTGTAACTTGGGTGCGCTTGCACCTACCAAACACATGTGGCAGCCAATAGTGCCGCTGATTTCAATGCCGATCGTCAGTGATATATGCAAATTGGGTTAACCGAATTGAGCAAATCAGTCAAACCCCCTAACAATTAAGGGAACCTAGTTGACATTCTGGTGAATTCAAGATGATTGCTTAGAACACCCTGCCTGAGCAGTCAGCTTACGGTATCCATAATCGTGAATTTCATACTGGCGGTTGTTTTTGACGGCTAAATCGACCCGATTGTGAGCAATTTCACAATGAGCCCCGTACCTAAGTATTAGAGAGTAAGCTGCGCAAAAGTATGTCCTGTTGTGTGGTTTCGTCCTTTACCGAGGCCGCACATTTTTCGCAATTGGCTGAACTACAAAAAACATGGCGTCTTTTTCCACAAGCATTTCCGACGCTCTACGAAACTGTGACTCACCGCCTGGCAGTCTCGTGCACTGTACTGTTCAGTACATCATTTAGATACCAATGACCCCCAAACCTTCAGGCTCTGCACAACAAGCGTAAGGTGTGCTGGGCATTATCCTTCAGCCCTATTTCAGACACAGTGAAAATTCTGTGTTGCTGAATTGTTAAAATTTGGCTGCCATGCTAAAGCTCAAACGTAGGCTGGTGCCACGCCTGGGGTGGGTACTGGTAAGAAGCCAGAAATGACTATTATAGTCATACTTTCTTTGTTGATAATTTTCATTGACCCATAATGCTAGCAGGCATGTGGCTTGTTGCAGTACTGGCTAGTGAGCCACAAGGCCGAACAGGGTGAGTGCGTACCGTCACCGATCTGTGTGCATCTGATAATTTAATAGATTTGTTACATTGCTGAAGAATAGGTTGTAGCATACGAGGTGTAAATTATTTGCATGCGGCCGTTCATGAAACTCGTTCCGACGCTCTGGTTATGCAATATTCCGGTTTCATTCGCAGACCGAACACAAAGATTTTTATGCAGAATGCTAATATCAAAAGACATCTTAGAAAGTACTTAACCTTATGCATATTCCTGGCGGCTGACACCGTATGGATGTAGACCACTCAACAAAACGAAATATTTAGGTGGAAGTTATATATCTGTAAGAATGTCATACGTTATCTTGTGAAGTCAGTAGATTTGGCAGTTCTACGCGTCCATCTTCTGACAAGAATCACGCTTAATGACATATTTGAGATTCTTTGATTTGCAGGAGATTCAGTCAGCATCGCAAGTTGTTCCTGAGCATCCTCCTGCAAATAATAATGACTCAAAGCAAGCCAAGGACGATGCTATCGTTTTCACGGAGGTAAACCACGCAATCAACTTGTTAGACTGCTTTTTACATTTAAATTGCTCTCACTTCCGCATAAAGACGCAGTATCAATGTATATTATGAACAATGGGGCAATACAAATTTATACGGCTTAAATCTTAAGGTCAAATTAAGTATTGGTGTTACTATTACATGCGTATTACTCTTGTATAATTAATTGGAAAGTGTAAATGTATTCAATATTTCTAAAGCATTTTTCCGGAAGAAGTATTCGAAGTATGCTTAGCCAGCAGACATTTTTTCGAAACAAAATATTTTGCAACAACTGCAGAGGAAATGGAATCTCTGTGTTGCTGATCTGTTTAACTTTCACTGACTTACTCAAATCCTACTATCTGATGGTGGGCTATCTGGCGTTGCCTATAACTAAGAAGCCAGAAACGGCCATTCCAGTTATAAAAGGGCAACAAACAGCTACAATGGAAAGGCCACATGTTGCTCATTAACTGCAAGTAGGCATTTAGTAGTATATGCATGTCATAATAAACCCAACTGAATGCACATCTACGATTGATGTCCGTAGAGGAAGTTGGTGGCGGATTACTTTTTCTTACTTGGCATCAAGGGCAACAAGTAGCCACAAGACGATTGCTGCATAATACACAATGAGTTTGGCAGTGATTTTTGTTTTCTGTCTTACCATCAAGGGTAAAAATTGCCCCAAACTTACTGACCGGATTTTCGTTTCACATATAGCATCCACAAATCTCAGAAACTTCGTCTAAGCCACTACAGGTGGCACCTTCAGGGGATTCGACGGATACGGCTCCAGCATCAATTGACAGCCAAACCCCAGCTAAAGTAAGTGAACCAGACGACATGAAGAAAAGATTGTTTGCAGTTAACTTTGTGCATTTTGGATCAGTGTTCTGAGTGCAGTCATTTGAAAAGTAGCATTGTCCAAAATGCCTGTATTGGGGGCAGAGTAGGCTGCATGCCAAACATGTGGAGTTGTTTCCGTCGAGCTGAAGCGTTTTTGGTCAACTTCATGTTTCCGACTGTATGCGCTGCAACCTAGGAAATGGAGGTTCAAAATTCCACAGTGATCAATATTGTTACGGAGGTGCGCTTGTACTTGCTTATATCCTCTTGCATCCAGTATTCCTACTCGTTTCATAGGCGATCGCCACAGAGATATACAAAACATGATTTTTTTCTACATGCACTTTTAATGTTTTACCAAAGTGTCACTTACCACCTAACAATTTCGTGATTTGTACTATTAAATATATTATTTAAATGCCACTTTTCCGGAAACTTGCATGTGCTACACAACAAATATTTTTTTATGCCGAGCTTTTCTCGTTGGCCACATTACAGAGACAGAAACTCAGGAGTATAAGAGGAAGAAGAAGGTACGATCACTGCAACAAGAATTTTATGTTTCTGACGTTCGGATTCTATCCAGAATATATGAGCATTGATAACCGTAGATTCGTGTGAGGCATGCACACATTGCGCTGTATTTATAGTTCGTAGCGGTCATCCCTATTTTTACTACAATTATCAGCTCTTGATACCACCGCAACTGTCGGGCTTGATAATTGCGCGATAATTGTGTTCGCTGTCGTCGGAGTTGTTGCCAAGCACAGCTCTTCCACTGTTACTGATTCTCTAGCTCAGACAATGGGTCAGTACGCAGTATGGGAACGGCAAATCATCGTGCTTGTTATTTGACTCTGGGGCTGAGAACCATGACTCCACCAGTTCACAGCTCACGAGGTTGCCAACTCTTGCGAGGATTTCGGCCTTATTGAACTTGAAAATAGGATCGGGTCCAGTCGAGCGAGCTGCAACCTGGGAGGTAGTATCTATCTGTCTCACCACCGCTGCGTGCTCAGCCATTCGTGTCCGGATTGATCTCCCGATTTCATCGACGTAGTTAGTTTGTTTACAACGGCAACTGAACTGCATCTTGGAAGTCGCATATTCGCTTCAATCGACATTTAAAACTCTCTGTTGCTTATTTTTTGAAATTTGGCTGATGTACTCAAGTTCGAGCCTTGAGTGGTACCAGATTTAGGGGGTGGGTACTGTTAAGAAACCAGAAAGCTCCATTACAGTCTTACTTTCTTTGTCGGTGGTGTTCATCTGCCTATAATAATAGCCTCCGTGTGGCTTTTCGCAGGACCATTTAGTGATCCGCAAGGTCGAACGGGACGAGTTAATACAGTCATCGATCTGTGAGCATCGCTCTGCTGAAGAATAGCTTGTAGGTTATGAGGTGTGAATCATTAAACTCCACTCCAACGCTCTACTTACACAATATTTTGGTTTCATGCGCAGACTGAACACAAGGATTTTTATGCAGTATGCTAATGTGCGAAGACATCTTAGACAATGCTTAACCCAACGCATATTGCTGACGGCTGAAGTCAATGAGAACGTAGGCAATTCAACGAAAACAACGATCTACCACTATTGTAGAATGTTGTGTGAATTCATTTGATTTGACTGATTTATTCTTCAATTTTCGGCAACAGTAGCTTATGTAGCCCCACTCATCAATCCCTGCAACGTGCATGTTTTCCTACGAAAACGGTGGTTATAGGGTTTTATGGGTGGAAAATTAGGACACG